GGTGTCACCATGCTGGGCAAGCCTATCGTTCGTGTTGCGCTGGAACCTGTGAACCCCGCCGATCTTGATAAGATGATCCATGGCCTCAAGCTTCTGGTCCAGAGCGACCCTTGTGCTGAGTATGAGCTCCTGGGCAGTGGTGAACATGTGTTGTTGACTGCTGGTGAGTTGCACCTTGAACGATGCTTGACTGATCTCAAGGAGCGATTTGCTCTGTGCGATATTCAACCGGGTGCTCCTATTGTTCCATACCGTGAGACAATTGTCCGAGCTGAAGAGATGCGACCTCCCGCGAACAAGGACCTTGGCCGCGGCGCGGTTGTAGCTACAACAAGCTCAAAGCAAGTAACTCTTTCGCTACGTGTGCAGCCAATCCCCGAAAATGTAACAGACTTTTTGGTTAAGAATGGCGATGCTGTCAAGCGAGTCTACGACCGCGGGGCTAAGAAAGATGATGAGGGCGAAGAAATCGTGGCTGAAGCTGATGTTGCAGCTGGAAACACCCTGTCCGTTGAAGACTTTAAGAAGCAACTTAAGGAGAAGCTTGAAAGTGGAAAGGGCAGAGATGTCTGGAAAGACTCTATTGATAAGATTGTGGCCTTCGGACCTCGACGTACTGGACCAAACCTACTTATCGATGCTACCACAAATGGTATCTTCTCCAAGGCTTTTGCTGCTGAAAAGACTGTCGAGACTGCACCTCGTGCTGATGAGTCTCTTCACCCAAGTCATCTCACCGACAAGATCTCATACGCCTTCCAACTTGCTACGGCTCAGGGTCCTCTGTGCAGCGAGCCACTTCAGGGCGTTGCAGTCTTTATTGAGGATGTTACCCTGAACCTAGCCGAGGACGACTCCTCCGCACGCGACAAACTTGGTCGTCTCACTGGTGAGATTATCAGAACCTTCCAATCTTCTCTTCGTGCAGGTTTCATGGACTGGTCTCCCCGTCTCATGCTGGCCATGTACAGTGTCGAGATTCAAGCATCTACAGAAGTCCTCGGTCGTGTATACGATGTTCTTACCCGTCGTCGCGGTCGTGTCAACGCCGAACTCATGAAAGAGGGTACACCATTTTTCACAATTCAAGCTCTGGTTCCTGTAGCCGAGAGTTTCGGATTTGCCGACGAGATGCGGAAGCGTACCAGTGGCGCGGCCCAGCCACAGCTGATCTTTGCTGGCTTTGAGATTCTAGACGAAGATCCTTTCTGGGTACCTTTCACAGAAGATGATCTCGAGGATCTTGGCGAATTGGCTGACAAGGAGAACGTGGCGAAGCGATATATGGATGGAGTGCGGAGAAAGAAGGGATTGCTTGTTGAAGGAAGAAATGTTGCTACAGACGCAGAAAAGCAAAAGACACTGAAGAGGTAGATTTGTTCGAGGAGCAATAAAATTATGCATGTTATGATATAGGCTGTCGTGACAGTGTGGTTGTAGTGTGCATACGTTCATCGGCCGCAGTGTAACATGGATTCTTCCGCATTGCATAGAGATCAGATGAATCTGTTACAGGCACAAATGCATGGGTCTTCTTGACAGATGTAAATTTCGAAATAGGTATTATGGGAGATTTATGGATAGTATGACTGCAACGCCCAAGCTATGGAGCTTCTTTTTCCCACAACGACCCGGGCGAGTAGACCGGAGAAAGTCCTATTGGCAAAGCCCCAGAACTTCAAACTGGTTAGCCAAGTACTATTCTGGATAGTTCTTATGGGCCAAGTTGTGATACTTCCATGGTATTCCGTGACGCTCGCCTCTTGGACACAATGCTGGGAAATCGTCCTCTCCTTCTCCTCCCTCTCTTCTTCTCTATTCCTTTCTTACACGTATAGAAGTAGCCGATCGAGATCTTCTATTCAATTTCTCCTCTATTCCTATCGAGAATCATGATGACTTGCATCTATACCGTCATCTACTTCGCCAGAATCGTCGAAAGCACATCAGGCAGTTGACAGTCTGCAAGTTCCAAGGTTTTCTCATGCAGGTCCCTGTAAAACTTCATCCACATAGTCATAGAACCCAACCTTCTTTTGGACTCCGTACCTTATTTAACCAACTATGTTCTTCCTCCTGCTTTATGTTTAAGACAGACCAGCCCAATCCTGTGTTGTGCGTACACGTTGTACACGTTTTGTTGTGTTGTCTCACCACGAGATCGGATCTGTTCCCCTCACATCAACTGGCGAGTGGCTGAGCTGAGCTTCCCTCATCCGATATGAGGTCTTTAGGCAGAGTACCTGATTTGCCAATACGAGCTGAAACTTGGCGAGAGCGGCGGCTGAGTGTCTCTTCTCCACTACCCTCAGATCAAAGGATGACATGTCAACTGCGAAAAGAGAGACTATCACATTCTGACCCCTGACGGTCTTAACCCTTGCTCCCACACACTCGGCACTTTCTCCACGATTTCGGCAGCTAACGAGAACCCGGGCGTCCCCGGTGGATTAACGTTGCTTTTTTGTCTCTGCCACGAAACACGACGGCCCGTTCGACTTTTCCTCGTTTGGTTTGAGTCCATCTGCAGAGACCGAGTTTTTCTTTTTTGCAAAAAATGATCTGGTAGGTCTTGATTTTTCCGTTGAGGGATGTGAGGGATGTGAGGGATGTGAGGGATGAAGAGGCTGGACTCAGAAACATGGAGCAGTTTTGCGTGGAGTATTGGAGATGGACCCTAAAAGAAGTAAAAAATGAGGACTAGATTGTCTAGACGCACAAATTTGCCGCCGGCTTCAGGTCAGATATTTCTGATAATCTTATATCACGGGTTTCCTTCCCGAGGGGCTGGCTCTCGTTGCTCTGCTACAGATGCAAGCTGCAGTTCAACTCATCATGGATCCCCAGACGTCGATTGAAGAAAGTGCTGCAGCAATGACGGAGGTCAACCTCAAGGCCTTCAACATCGAGGCGTTCACACTACTTGGCATTGCGTTGCTGGTCACCGTGTTGAGATCGTGTGTGCGGATCAGGACTGTGGGATGCAGGAACCTCTGGGCAGATGATTATCTCGTCATTTTGGCCGCTGTAAGTGACAAATACCTGGTGTATATGCATGATACTAATATCATTAGGGTATCTACGCTATAGAAACAGGACTGGCATACTCGGTCGGTAATATTGCTCAAGGGCTGGCGAATAACTCGATGACGGGCGAGCAACGGGCTTCTTTACAACCAGAAGATCATGAATATCAGCTTCGGTAGGCCAATAAGTCTATATATCTTGTTGCTCATGCTAATTCTTACAGTGTCATTGGCTCGAAGATCCAAATCGCCTTATGGGCAACTTACTCATCCCTCCTCTGGATCCTCAAAGCAGCCATGTGCACTTTCTACTATCGACTGACAAAAGACCTTCAAGGCCACCGAGCTCGAGTCATCATCGGCTTTGGCTTCATCATTTCTTCTTTTGTCATTGTGCAGATGAATCTTCTTCTCAGTTGTCGCCCATTCGACCACTGGTGGCAAATCTTTCCTGATCCCGGAGCCTTCTGCCATGCTGCCATTTCACCTGCTTTGATATGGACTTGTCTCGCTTTCAACTTGGCAACTGACTTTTACCTCATCATGATCCCTATGCCCATGCTTTGGAAGGCTGCTATGCCTTGGCCTCAAAAGGCCAGACTCATTGCTCTGTTCAGCTGTGGGTTGTTTGTCACCATGGCTGCTATCCTTCGAGTTGTGCTGCTTGTATCTGTAAGTATATCTCAACCCATGTGTCATACTGCATGCATCTAACATCAACAAGGATCCAATCAATGGCCCTCAACTCGCAGCTTCTTGGGCGGTTCGCGAGACCTTTGTCGCCATTATGACAACAAACATCCCCATGCTATTCCCTACATTTAAGAAATGGGCTGTTCCCATCGTCGAAAGAGCTGGTTCCTCCTTGAGCGTGTACCGAACTCCACCAAACACTATCGTGGATTCCAGATTCTCCGGAGCTCTGTCTCTAGGCAGTTTGAGGCGAAAGAGCCGAGTATCATCTCGCATTACATGCGCTGGCCCCGTGTCGCCCACTGCCAGTGAGACTGAAGCACACATGAACTCAATTGGTCTCATTTATACTACTCCTGACTCAAGCATCAAGAAGCCGAAAGCTTCCAAGACGACACACAAGATCGCGGCCATACGTCTCCCGCGCATCGATACCTCAGCCCCAGCTGATCCAGACCACGGATACGGTCGACTGAGCACGAGAAGTGACAGTTCCGTTGTTTCTTGGTCAGAAACTTTGGTGAACTCGCCTCAATCTGAGGGAACAGAGTCTTTGCTCTATGCCCGTGTTCACCACGACAGATACAGCAAGCACGTTTAACGCCTTTGTTACGAACATTCATAATGCCTTTGTCTCCTGATACGAAACTTACGACAAAGATGATCACATTTTCCATAAACCTACATGATTCATGATTCTACGTTAATTACCTAAAATAGAAAAAAGCTCATAGATTTGTTTCTGGGTTGGTTATGATATTTTATTGCTTCAGTTATTATGACTTCAATATGAGGAACTTCGGAGGCTCTCCGCATGCAGACTACCACGACTCCGAGTTTCATTCACTTCAACCATTAGAAGCACTTAGATACTGTACTTATTACTTAAATATTACTTTGCTCATTACTTATGAAAGGCCATGGTGAAGTATTACCTCGGTGTTACTCCATCAGAACAACTACCAAACCTGCAACATACCCTCAGGGGCTTCGGAGCCTTACACAATGGGCCTTTGTTGTTTGTTGAAGCTTATGTTCTTTACTCTGTGTGCCGTTCTCTTCATTTAGGGGCCTGGGTTCAATAAAAGACTGGCCATTAGAGAGTCATCTTTGTTTGAAGTGAATGGGCTCTCTCAAAGAACAGTGAACAACGTAGCAAAGGATCAAGGAATCACCAAGCTGTTGTGAACAGCTTTGAATATAAGGAGCTCAGCATGACCCATATGGCGATTAAATACAAAGTTCATGCAACACCAACTGTCTTACACACAAATTAACATCATGGCTATCTCACCGCCTCGTACTAGATCGAAGACCATGGAAACCCAAACAGTTTCTGCAGCTTCACTAATGACCCCGGCCAGATCAACAACACCAGGATCACCCATTGCAGCACCTGTTAAAGCCAAGCCTAAATCTAGCCAAGAATTCCTCCCTGCACCATCCACCAAGCGAAAAAGGACATTTGACGATACCCCGGTCCCGCTCAAGCTGAAGAAAACAGCCTCGACTTCCAGAAGAGCCGCGGGTCGCATTAAAACTCTCAGCTGGTTGGCAGACCTTGAGGAGGAGGAGGATCTCGAATCTCCTCAGTCTCCGACGCCTGCCGGTTCAGGGGCTGTCGAGGAAGAGGAGACCAGTGAAGATGAGGAAGAGAAGGTGTCTAAGCTTAGACCTAAGTCGTTCCAATGCGAAAGCTTTACAAAAAGCTGGGAAGAGATCGGACAGCAACGAAACTTTGAGTTCTTCCAGGCCTATCCTCATGATGAATTCTCAACCCTCTGCATGGAGCATTTCATGGAACTTGCAGAGGGTTGGTACTATCGGCGAAAACCCATGGTCAACCGGCAGGCTCAAAATATCGTCAGGGCTGGCTTGACCCAAAAGCCCGACTTCTCGAAACTGGCCCTCCCTGTATGTGATGAGACATGGACCGTCAAGAGTCTTGAAGGCTTCATGGCCGAGCTACGCCAGCAGATCAACGATGCCAGTGATCGGGTGACGGTCAACCAGGTGCAAATCCTCGATACTGCTGGAGAACGACCCATCTGTGAGCTTGGAAACCAGTACCGCCCTCTCAAGTGCTCATTATGTACCAACTATGAGTTGCCATGCAGGGGTAATTACATGGAGGTTGACAAAGCACGTTGTCGTATGGATGTTGCACCCTACCCCCTGAGCCCATATTATGCCGCCGTAAAGAAGGCTTCCAGGTGTGTTCCTGACTGTGGCCACCAAAAGGCTCTCACAATCCTTATGGGTGACAAGGGCAAAGACTACATGGAGTGCGAGGAATGCTGTTACATCCAGGCACTCCCTCAGCAACCCTCCCAAAGGCCAAACACATATGCAATCAAAGTAGCTGGGATACGTATCCCGGTTAAAGTTCGTCCTGAGCGGCTTTGTCTGAATAGCAAGCTCGGTCATGCCGACCTCGGAGGTATTCATGTCGTTGTTGACTACTGTGCTGACAAGCGGCGAATGATCAAATTTCGGTAAGTTCTTTTTCCACTGGTTTTATCAATATAATATATAGCTAACCTCTTTTCATAGGTCAACCCAATTCTCCAAGGCTCATGAGATGCATGCCTTGGACTTCCACCTGGAGGATGAGATCAGTATGCATGACTTTGAGTTGCCAGAAGAGCATATATTCGATCTTCCTGAGTCCATCGAGGTAGAGGATCGGTTCAACGAGCTGTATTGGCAAGAGGGTGCTTTTAACGCAGTTGCTCATTGTTCAAACCTATTTGATAACTGTTCGTGTCATTAATGGGGAGTTGTGGAATAGCTATTGGGGAGTTTGAATTATATATTGTTGCTTGAATATGCGCACTAAAAGAATGTGATTGCCATGAAAGATTCCAGCTACCTAGACCAGTTGGATAGAAAGTTAAAAGAGTACTGGTCGTGGAAAGACAGATGAAAGTGCAATGCTTGTAAAAGATGACTCAATAAAAAGGTTGAATGCCTCTATTCACATGACCACTGTAGGGTAGCTCTCCAGGCAACCATCTGCGGCTGAAAGGGAAAGCCCCCACGTGCCCAACGTTACGTACCCACCCTGAAAAATTCTGACCAGTCAAGATCTTTCATTCAAACTTGGAAGATCCAGGGCATTTACAGTGGGTCTAGCGGCCTCCTCCAGGAGTCCAGGGGACCTCCTGCAGCGCAAGATGGCCCAGTCCAGCTGATGTAAGGCTCCGGGGCATCCACTCATTTAACTGAAGGCAGCCATTCAGGCATTTCGTGGTGGATTGCCGTAAGTCGCCTCGAAACTTGAACTCTGCATAGTTATCTTGAAAGTGCCACGATGCGATACTGAATAGTCACGTTACAACACAGCCTACCCAAATACTTGTCTAATACCGCTTATCTTTTGGAACTTCTCCCCCATACTTCACTTCTCACGTTCCTTTTCTCGTACTCTTCTCTCTTGTTTTTACCTCTTCTTTAATCTAGTCCCACCCGTTGCGCGACATTGCCGACTCCGGGAGCGACACGCACACGCCACCGCGAACCCCTCCATCCCTGACCTGTGACCCAACTCAAGTCAGACCCCGTCGCCGCTCTACCTTGAAGGACATTTTGGATTACTAGGACCGGCATACTATTCACTAATCCAGGATGCGTCTCTTCGGCGGCAAGAACAACAAGATCAAGGTCGACCCTCCCAAGATCAGGATCGAAAAGGTTGTCGTCGACCGACCTGCCCAGAAGCCTAAGCCTAAATCCACTTCCGCACTCAGCGGCTCAGCATCGCGCTCCTCCTCTTCCCACCGTCCCTCGCCGAAGCCACTGGCACGACAGGCTAGTCACTCGCCGTACCCCTCATCTTCCGACGAGAAGCGACTCGAGCGTAAGCGCAAGGCACCCTCCGTCACCCGGCGATCACCAGCAAGCGACCGTATCGAGTTCGACAAAGACAGCGATGGCGAAGACGATGGATGGATGACTCTCGATACCAAGAGACAACGCAAAGGCACGGAAGACGGTAGCTTTGTTGACCCCAACCGCAAACTGAGAAGCGTAAGAGCCTTTGAGGATCGGATGGACAGTCGAAGCTTCATCCATGCCGTAGACGTGGCCTCGCTTGAGCACAAGTGTGTACCTGTGATGGGCGCACAGAAAGAGGATGTGGCTATCCGACTACAATATCCCAGCTTACAGCCTCGAGAAAAGTGAGTCTTCCCGGCGACCCAGACCTCCAAAACTAATGCTGACATGATTACAGGTATGAGCTAGTATGGGGAAAAGACAAGATCGATGCTGTGGAAGCCAGCATCAAGGTGGTTCGCCACGTAGCCGAAACATACCTCACCGAAGAGGAAGCAGAGCCTTTCACAAATCCCAATGGTGGCATCATTCGAAGACTGGAAAAGGCCTCCAACCGGAACATCCAGGATTTGATGGGTTTCAAGGCAGCTCTGCGCGAATACAACGAAAAGCTTCGTGCTCTAGTCGAGGACGGTGTAATTGCCAAGAATCTCGATAAGATGCATGAGCTCCCTCAGCACCTTGTGGCTTTCATTCTCGATCAAATTTATGACCGAACAGTGGCTCTCAAAGTGGAACTTCTTTCAAAGTATGAGAATGGAACCGACTATGTCTATGGCGAACTACTCCACCCCTTCATTTCTAAAATCTTGGTAGAGCAGACACGAATGACCTCTGGTCAGGTCTTCGTTGATCTCGGCTCGGGTGTTGGTAATGTGGTTTTGCAAGCGGCCCTCGAGATCGGTTGTGAGAGTTGGGGTTGCGAGATGATGGAGAACGCCTGCAACCTTGCTGAGGAGCAAAAGAAGGAATTCGATGCCCGATGCATGCTCTGGGGAGTTCGACCTGGCAAGGTTCACCTGGAACGGGGCGATTTCCGCAAGAATTTGTCCATCCATGAGGCCCTCAAGCGCGCAGATGTTGTGCTTGTAAACAACAAGGCCTTCACCTCGCAGCTCAACGACGACTTGGTCCGTATGTTCCTGGATCTTAAATCGGGTTGCAAGATCGTGTCGCTCAAATCCTTTGTTGCGGAAAAAAGCAACAACCACAACATCAACGACGTTGGCAGCACCATCCTGGAGGTGGAAGAGTGCACATACCCCGAGGGTTATGTGAGTTGGACTAATGCAGGAGGATCGTACTTCATTTCGACGCGCAAGTAGACTATAGAGCTTCATAAGCACTGAGTGGCAGAGATTATGGTGTTGGAGAAATAGGGATAGGGCATACGGTTACATCAGCGTGGGGTATAAGGGTATGTTCGGACTTACAGGATACTCCATATAGTATTTGTTTTTTTCTCGTGACATCGTGGCTCGTTTCTCCGTTTGACCTGCTTCGTTTGACCCCATGGATCATTAACTATCGTCCCTTTTCGAAGATGGGTTCGTTGGCGAGGTTCATAGCATCTGCTTCTTGTGCCATCCTCTTCATCCATCTGTCCACCAGTTCTTTGTTCTCCTTCTTCACCTTATCTCTTTCCTTCTCAGCCATGGACATTTGTAGATCCATCGCAATCATCTCATCTTGTACTTGCTGGCATTGCTGTGAGCAACAATGACGATGAAACGTGGCATTTGAGCCAGACGTACCTCAAGAAGCTTGTGCTTTTCCCTCAACTCGTGTTCTAGATCCTTTCGTTTGGTAGTAAGACTATTTCTATCGGCCGTGAGGTCGCGGATTGATTTCGTATCTGCCTTGTGCTTTGCCCGCAGCTGCATCAACTCTTCCTCGCTCGTGCGTAATCGCTTTTCGGTGACCCCCTTTGATCGAAGGGCTTCGGCGAGATCCTGTTTTAGTTGCGCAACACCAGGATCGCTTGTTGAGGGTTCGGTGGGTTGTGTAGTTGGTGTCCCGCTATTTGCGACCAGCGCTTCTAGCCCATTCTTCTCAGCCTCAAGAGCAGATATGCGATCTGCCATCTGCGAGCCTTGAAATCATTGTCAGTTTGATAAAGCTTTCGTATCCTCGCGTGATACTGTCGCATGCTGGAGGAGGGGTTATGTGGGGGTGCTTTTACGAACAAGCCTGAACAAGCTCCATGTTGACGGGATTATTGAGCTCTGCATCCTTGATGGATGAGAGATACTGGTCACGCCAGTTTGGCATTGTGAGTGAGTTTAACGTGTGTGATGGTCGACAGATGATAAGGTTTTGAGGTGGATGAAATGAGGTTGGGTCAAAGTGACGGGAGAATGAGTTGGGTCAACAGAGTGACTTGCATTCACTTGCACTGCTCATTCTTTCCCGCCATGTGAGATGATGCAACCACTGAAAGGGAACTAAAATTAGCGGGACAAGGTGCTACCCGACCGCTAATTACAGCCGGAGAATAGCCGTGCGCCCAGGCAACCTCCACTTACCTTACCTGAGCTACCTACGGTATGATGCAGCACCCAAGCTCCTTGCTCTCATTCATACTGTACAGGTGCCTAGCTGACGAATAACATTCAGCTACATTCGCGTCTCTTCCTCAACAAATTCAAAAAGATTGGGTTACAATATGAGATAACGCGAGATGGACACACTTCACGCCAGAGCTGACTGGGAGAGTGTCGGGGACAGATGGTTCCGCAAGACACAGCAGTATACAGCTGTGTTTGACCAAGATCTCGACTTGGATAATTATATCGTTGCGGGAGCTCCATATGCAGGAGCACTAGGTGAGTTCTAAGCTACAAAAATCTAAGATCTTTAGCTCATAAGTTTCCAATACACTTATGATTAAGTTAGTGTCGATGTGATTGTAACTGACCATATCTTAGCACTATGGCGCGACGACACAAAGCTTCTCGCATATCAACCAGGAAGATCAGCAAAACCAGCAATTGACATCTACAGTCTTGCTGGTAAGAAACTCCGAAGCATCCCCTGGGATAATGGTACCATTAAAGGCCTTGGGTGGTCTGAAGATGAGACTCTACTCGTTGTTACCACTGACGGTACGGTCCGCTGTTATGATCTGCAAGGAGACTTTACACAGTTCTCCCTCGGCCATGGTGCCGACAACTATAGCGTCGAGTCATGTCGGTAGGTGCCTCTTATTGATACGATCTGCTTCCGCGACTGACGAGAGGTAGTTTCTACGACCATGGCATGGTAGCACTACTTGGAAACAACTCACTCGTCACAGTCTCATCATATACTGAACCCCGACCAAAAGCTCTTGCTAAGATACCAGAAAGCGAGATCCATGCTTGGTCAATCATTTCACCAAACCACACATTATCTAGGTCTGTCGAGGTACTATTAAGTGTCGATAAGACTGTATACGTCGTCGATGCTACTGATTGTGAAGACCGTTTCCTCGATATTGGACCTTTCAGCCATATTAGTGTCTCTCCGGATGGTCGCTACGTCAATCTTTATGCTGTGAATGGGAAAGCTCATGTCATATCGAGTGACTTCCAAGAACGGCTATTCGAACATGATTCCGACTCTCAAACACCTCCTCTATATGTTGAATGGTGTGGGTCCGATGCACTCATTGCCTGGGAGGATGAGGTGCATATTATCGGACCTGGTGACTCTTCATCTTCATATATATACGATAGCACGCGTGTGCATGTCATTTCTGGTATGTGCCTTATTCAACTTCAATGTCAGACTACTGATATCCTTACAGAACACGATGGTGCCCGTCTAATTACAAATGACTTTTGCGAATTCCTTGAAAGAGTGCCTAGGGACACCATCGAAGTCTTTGGCCAGTCTTCAGATTCATCACCTGCTTCAATTCTTCTCGATGCTGTAGGCCAACTGGAGCTTGAGTCTCCAAAGGCAGATGATTACATCCAACTAATACGACCTAATCTTACCGGGGCTGTGGACACGTGTGTCAATGCAGCTGGGCGCGAATTCGATACCCACTGGCAGAAGCGATTACTCAAAGCAGCTTCATTTGGCAAATCTGTACTCGATATATATAACAGTGACGACTTTGTTGACATGTGCGAGACTCTACGCGTGCTCAACGCTGTGCGATATTATGAAGTTGGTATGCCACTGTCTTTTGAACAGTATCACCGCTTGACACCAGAAAGCCTCATCCGACGATTGCTCAACCGACACGAGTATCTTCTTGCCTTGAAGATCGCAGGCTATCTGAAGTTACCAACAGATCGAATTTATGTACACTGGGCGTCTTGCAAGGTCCGTGTAGGTGGCGAGGATGACGATACCATCTGCCGGTTGATCGTGGAGAGACTATCTGGCAAGCCTGGAATTTCCTTTGAAGAGATCGCTCGTGCAGCATATCAAGAAGGAAGGGGCCGACTTGCTACTGAACTTCTCAACCATGAGCCTCGTGGGGGTAGACAGGTTCCTCTTCTCTTGAGTATGGAAGAGGACGAGCTTGCTCTCGACAAAGCTGTTGAGAGTGGCGACACAGACTTAATACTGTCAGTTTTGTTGCAGCTCAAGAAGAAGTTGCCCCTCGCCGCTTTCTTCAGGGTCATCAATGCACGACCGACAGCAACATCACTGGTGGAAGCTTTGGCCATGGAAGAGGGTGATAATACACTGCTAAAAGACCTCTATTATCAAGATGACCGACGAGAAGATGGTGCCAACGTTTTTATCCGGGAATCATTGAAACAACCTGATGCTCGAACAGCATCTGACAAATTGGCACTGGCAGCAAAGCTATTAGCTGACTCAAAGGAGTCGACGTTCGAGGTTCATGCGTTGAAAGAGGCTACGACACTTTTGCGCATGCAGGAAGCTTTCGACCGGGATTTGACAGACACCTTCACTGGCCTGAGCGTCAACGAAACCATGTTTAAGCTTATTCGACTGGGCTACCACGGACGGGCTAAGAAGATCCAGAGCGAGTTCAAAGTCCCCGAGAAAGTGGCGTGGTGGATTCGGTATGTGGACCTTTTCTCCAACAGGCCCTGGCTTCGGGACGACAACGTTGGACAACGGCTAACTTTTGTTCCTGCAGATTACGAGCACTAGTTGCGAAGCGAGACTGGAACGAGATCGAGGAGATATCCAAGACAAGGAGAAGCCCCATTGGTTGGGAGGTGAGTTACAGAATGAGAACTCTGTGGAGTTAGATATGATACTGACAATCGTAGCCATTCTTCAACCTCACACTTCAAGCAGGTAACCCACGTTTAGCATCTGTATTTGTACCCAAATGCACATCAGTAGAAGCTGGAGAGACGATCACCATGTATGAGAAATGTGGGATGCGGGTGAAGGCCGCACAAGAAGCCGTGAGACTCAAGGACAGTGAGTCTTGGGAGAGGCTCTTGGAGGCTGCAGGAAGGGGTTCACAAGAGGGAAGAGAGATCGAACGTCTGGGCCAATCCGTATTCAAGAAGTAGAGCCAGCTCTACTGTAATTTCTTAGAGGCACATATAACCCGTTTCACCGTACTTTCATAGCAAGAATATCCACAGATATGAAGCAGCCATGGTCGATTATGACTCTCGTCAAGTTACACAATGATACGATCGGAACCGCGTTTAACGCCATGCAGCTATGAGCTAAGCCATCTACTGCAGTGGCTGCATAGTTGATGGGACATACAATTGATGAATTCTTTTTACGATTGTGTATTGAGCGATGAGAAATAACGCCTCAATTCAGCTCCGCACATAGCGACTGGAATGTGAGAGTCTGCAGTTGATTCGGAAGATATCACGGACATTCGCGTGATGTTTCCCAGGGTCTCGTGACGTGCCTAGTTGCAAGTCATGTTTCTGTTGGTGTCTCATGATCCGCGATGACTGTTTAGCACTCTAACATTAGTCGACATTAAGCGGAACTAGCGGGCATCTACATGAGATGTATGGTTTCGCGTGTGAGCTCAAGATAACGTTATGCTTGATCGGGATCTACCGAAACCGTTCCATGGTGAGTAAAGCAGCTGATGCCTGTTGGTGGCATGACAGCTGAGGACCCTGTATCGTACTGTACGGTACTGGAGCTTGAGAAGAGGGAGGGTAGGATGATGATATCATGGGTTACATTCTGGCTCCGATGTGGAGATGACTGTGGCATGTACAGAACCAACTGCAAGGTAAGGTAAGGTAAGGTAGGCAATTGCTGGGGAACTGTTCAGTAACACAAGCTCGGAGACTTTATGTCAGTGAATTTCCCATTATCGTGATACTTGAGAGAAACTTCAATCCACCGGTTCAACGTTACCCCCTTTTTCGCCTCCCGAGCATTTTTTTTGTTTGCTTGCTTGCATCGTAAGCTTAAGCCCTGTTCCTCTTTTGGCTATGGTGTTAGGTCTCGAAGAGTCTGGTGGTGGCGGTATCAGAACCACCAGCACCAAAAGTCCGAAGTGTAACTCAACTCGGGTTTAAGCCTCAACCAAAGGAACTTTGAGAAACGGTTGAGGACGGACTCTTTCTTTTCCTAGAAGCATGTGAGGCGTTTTGGTTGAGATAGACTGTCTAGACTGTTTATACACGGACGATGAGTGGGTATCAGAGATTGGGTAGCGGTTGGGAGATGTTAATTGTGGAAAATGGCCTTCTTTAAGCTGGGGATATCTTGTATGAAAGATGGAGAATGTATGTCATGATGGATCTAGACTGTGGAGCTGCTTAGGCATGAAATTCAGGGCAGTTGATATTGCAACGTTTAAGGGTCTCTTCAGCGACTTTTCTTACCGATATTTGATGACGAACAACATGTCGTGTAACTGAAGGATTACCATTGATAGTGTCAGCAAAGACTGAGGTCGTAAAGTATTTAGCCACCTCCAAAAAAGGATCCGCGCTCCGTTTCCGATACTGAACCCCTGTACTATGTCTTGCCAAGACGCCTTTTTTTTCAAGAGTAAGTGAAGCTGAGATGTTCTGGAGCGGCCACCCCGAATCACGTTCAGATTCTGACTGGCAGGCAGATTTGATCACTTGGCAGTGTGCGTGATGTTGCCTGTTTTCCTAGTTACCTTAGGGCACTGTTGACTGATCGATACCGCCATGAACCAATTCGCTATTCGTAGATGATCCTTGTAATTGTCTGTTCTTGATGGGCCACTAATGCAATCTTTATTGAGACTAACATGAGTCCTACTGAGGAATTGCAGCATGCCGAGAATCAGGTTTCAATGGTTACTGGAGTTGAGTCAGCTACCAAGAACC